CGAATATTTCAAAAGTTACTAAAAGTAGATTCAAGATAAACATCCCAAAATTGAAGGTTCCACAATAAATATATGATACATATGCACGATACATAATCATTTACAGAACAGACAGTAAGAATATTCTTTTCGTTAATGGAGTTATGGAGAGAATAAATTATTGCAAGCATAAATTCTTGTACTTGTTCAAAGTATTTTAGAGTTGAATGATGTTGACAATTCATGAAAGGTGTAATAACTAGGAAGGAAAATTGGTTGAACTAAGTAGCAAAGATCTAACCCTACGTATCATTTAGCAGTAGGAGTTGATCCACACTTAAGCAAGGTCAGAGCTTGAATCCTGTCTTATGTATACAATCGCGTTAAATTTTGATCTCAATTATCCACCTTTTAAATGCCTCCAACATACATGACTATCAGCGATAGATGAAGTAGCAAAGATCTTTTGTTGTAAGTAAAGAAACGTTACTTTTGCAAAGAATATATTTATTATTGATGGTAGAATCGAAGCCTATTCTGGATATCATAAATTTAAAAACGTGGCAAGCAAACCAAACAATAAAATATGCACATGGCAGCATCTGCTGCTTTCTACGGTATAGCTTCAATATGGACATTTGGACATGGACCGATGGAAGAATAAAAAAAATAAAATAATATATATATATATATATATATATATAATTCATGAAATTCAATTAAGAATGTCTTATAATAAAAAATAGAATGAGTAATACATTTTAAATAAAATTTATTTTATTTATTTATAAAATTTATATTAATATGAAACTGTTAAAATGAGTTTTATTAATGGCTCGTGCTTGAGTTAAACTTTCAAAAGCATATATTATTAAATTGTATATAATTAATAAAAATGATAAATATTCAGTTTCTATTTATAAGACCTAATTTAAAATAATTATTTATTCATTTATATAAAAAATAATTTATAGTGTCTGTATTAATTTTTTTTAAGTTAAAATATTTTTAATTAAAACATGTTCTTTAATTAGTTACAAGAGTAAATAATATTAATTATAAGAGAAAAGTAGTATATAAATACACTTTGATTGATAAAAAAAAAATAAGTAAAAATTAATTAAGAGAGGTTGATATTGATTTTAACAAGGATATTTTTTTAAATAAATTTATTATTATCAATTATATTTTTCTTAGTCATGATAAATTAAATATTTATGTTTTTTTATAGTTTTTATTGTTTTATTTATTTTGTAAATTTATTATTTATTGATCTGAATAGTACTAGATTCGACCCCTTTAAGTAAGATATCGAATTTAAGTCTAATATGTAGATATAATATAGTTGAGAGGAGAGATCTTATTATAAATAACTAGTTAAGTTTTTTTACGGAGATTGATCATTAACAAAGTTAGTAAATATTTTATGTTTGAAATAAATTTTAATTAATTAACTGTGTAATAATATTTACATTTCACAACATGAAAATTAAATTCTTATTTTATTATTAAAAAGGACATCATATTCTTGAAAAAAAAATTGTATGAAAAAGGATTGGTATATATTGCTCGTAGTGGTGGTTGTAGTGTTTTATGGTGACATCTAGGTCCTATGCGAGAAGGTTATACTTATACCATTTTATCTTGTAACAAAATTGAGATGCAACTTAATGGAGGATCTAGAAGAACTTGCACACCTAGGCATGTTGACTAGCATAGTTGCTTGACTATTATGCCATAAAATTACATTCCTTAAATATATTGAAATGTAAATTTAAATTTAACTTAATATTATAAAATTAACTTTATCATAACTATTTTTACTTTTATATATATATATATATATATATATATATATTATAAACAAAGTCTTTTATCAATAAAATAAGAGAAGAAATAATAATTTATAAATCACATACATACTTCAATGATTAAGAGATTTTTTAAGTGATAACTAAAAGTAAAATAAAAAATAAAATCAAAACGAATAATATTTCATCATTGTGAAGTTATGTGTGAAATAACCTTATATAAAAATAATAAAGTCATAACCCTCTTCTTGATATAAATATATCATTTCAAACCAAGTCGATTTTTAATACACCTTTTTTATGTCGAGAGATAGAATCTTAAATATAAAATTTACAAGATTAAATATTTGTGGGTATATGATCTAATATTGGTTTGGTAGTGAGTGGTTTAATATGTCCAACAATAATTATTAAGATAGGCTTTAATACAATCTTAAAAAGAATATTTGGATCAACAAATTGTTGATTTGAGTCGTTCTGAACTTAATCGTCTAACAGAAATCTTATATTCAATTTTGTACATAGAAAAAAAAATCATAATTAAAAGGAAGACCCCACTAAAAATGATCGCCAAATTTTTTAATAAAATTTCATTATTAACAATGTTAATGAATACTTCGCGCTAATAACATAAAAATAATAAAAAAATGAAAATTTATAACTAACTCAATTTTACGATACTTATTTTGTAAAATAAAAATTATCCTCACATATATATTATTTCAATCATATCACTGGTTGATATAGGGTTTTTATACAAATATATGATAAAGTAGCACTTCTCATTCTTTATAAGACATTTGCTTGATGGTTCTATCCAAGGACGTACAGGAAGCACAGTGGAGGCAAATGCCCCACTAAAATTTCACACTTCCTTATCTTTTATGTGTTATTATATTTAATTGTCCCATTATAATATATAGTGTGTTGGTATTTTACTATTTTTATTCACTTTTTATTCTATTAAATAATTTTCTTCACTTTTTCCTGTCAAAATAGTCTCTATCTTTAAATTTTGCTAATATACTGCAATTGTTTTTAATGAAGAATCTTTTGCTATTATAATAATTAAAGATAACATAATTTAGCTTATTAATAAAAGATTGATTTGAGTTCTTGTTTTTTATTTTAATTTTTGAATCCATTTAATTTTGTATGTTATAATTGTTACTGCATTTGATTTTGTTATTTTATATTTTAGTTTAAAAGAATTATCAAATTCACTGTTACACAATATAGATAATGAATATAATAATTATAATATAAAAACACTATGTAATTAAAAAAAAAAAAAAGGTAATTGTTCGCTAAAGGCCTATGTCATGCTTCACTTTTATTGTTCAACACTTTCACAAAAGATTTATTTATTTTTAAATATAACCAAAAATGAGAAAAGTAAATGTATAAGAGATAAATAATTAAATAATTTTTTAATGATATATTTATAACTATAATATAAAAAAATATCACTTTATATTATATTATTAGTATTATAAATTTATACATTTGGCTGAGTTATCCCCACAATTAACTATTTTCCAATACGGGGGTTGTTGGGCTTCCCTTCATTTAGCAATTAGCATCTAAACAACTACTCTTGAGTCGCGCTTAGTGGATATGGTTACATGTGGAACAATTCTAAGATCTCTCTGGCAAATTGTGAACGATATATTGGTATATGTTCATTCACTAACTTGGGAAAAAACACTGTTGTAGAATGTGAAAAATATGAAGCATGTGCATTATTTCATTTTGTAAAGATTTAATAAGATTTATTCCTTCCTTAGGATTGATCGGTCAAGAAGATTTCCTTATTTGCATATGTCTAATTTGATTCAATAATTCCGGCCAAGTTTTTATGATCAAACATGTATAAATAATGATCCTTATTGTACTCTTCGAATTTTCAAAAATAATATGTAATTTTCCTTGTATTCCAAAGTCTTGTACAATAGAAGAATCGTCCCATTTCGTATGTTATCTGAATCGTAAAAGATAACTACCATCAACTTAATCCAGTCAATTTTTATTATCTATCTTTTGATTCGAAAGAATTCTTCTCACTATAAATGAATCATTTGGATTAGATTAATAACAAATTACTTATTATTTTAAGATTTTGATTAAAGATTATTTTTGTTCTAGAGATTTTATCTCAAATTGGAGTTAGTCACTTAGTTGCCTTGTTTTTTTAGATTTGGTTAGCTTTATTATGTTGGGACCATTTTGCATTTGGCCCTATTCTGTTAGTGATTGTTGGTTTATGTATAAATCCTTCTCATAAATATTGAGCAACTGATATTTGAATTTTCGCGTTTAGAAAGTATATGAATCTTGAGTCAAAGGAACACTCTGACTTAAAAATAGGTTGTATTTGTTTGAAGGTATCTAAAAAGTTTTCCAAAAAAAATAAAAAAATGGGAATATCACGTTCCCTTGTTTTGATGAAAGTTTTGAAAGAACATTTCCAAAAATGATTGGTTTCCAAGATTATAAAAATTTCATACTTATCCTGTTTATCATTTCTATGGTAAAAAATGGATCTTACATTCTTATAAGTGTTGAAATTACTTTCTATTGTAATTACCTCTCCTCTCCTCTCTTCATAATTCATATTCCATATTTCTTCTTCTACTTTTATTTTTCTATTTTTGAACTAAAAATAATTTATTTTAAAAATACTAAATACTAACCAAGCATGTTCATGAAAATAATATTCCTAGACATAATAATCTTGAGAATGTGATTTATGAAAATTATAATATTATATCTTGAAACAAAAGTCACCTAATATTCTAAGTTTATCAAGAGAATAATATTTTGGTAGTAATACTTTTGGATTATTTCCCATACGTTCCCCCATCATCACATTTCATGATTTCTTTCATTAAAATCAAATTGTACTCAATTTCTTTTTTACCAAATTCCTCCATATTCAAAAATCATTTGGAGTCACAATTAATTCAAACTAAATCAAATAAATATAGTAGAGACATTTCAACACTGGGTTTCAAATCTTTGTTTAAGTAAAATTTCTTTATCATTCAAACTAACAAATACATTGGTAAGTAAAATTTCACTTAATTAATAAACTCATTTTAGACTGATAGATTAAAACAAAATGAAAAGGTGTGTGCACATATACCGTATACGTATACGTACGTAATTATTGAACATCTAGATATGATAAATTTTGACCGGGAACCAACATTCACAGGGGAAAAACTGATTTTATTGGACATAATATGCTTACAAAAATATGATCCACGATAAAGGTAACTGGATCTTGAAATTACTAAGCATCTGCCAACAACCAGAAATCCTCTCCTGATCGTAAAATACAAGTATTTACAACTTAATAACAAAGGGAAGGGAAAATCTACGACATCTGGCAATCTACAAGAACAAATGCACAGATGTATTTACATCCCAAGAGAAACCATTACTTTTCTCTATAAAGGGAACATAATATTTTCTGGGGGCTGCATTCATGAGCACAATGTACAGTAGTAACGGAACCTTCATGTTTTTCACAACATTAACTGTTTTTGGTTTCCTCGTTTCCTAACCATGAACCATTTTAGGACGTTGAATAGCTTCCTCCATCTCCTCTGTGCTCCACTGGCCAGCGATGCAGAACGTGCGAGCATGAAGCTATCAACAGCACTCTGTAAATCCGCTTGAACGTGACACTGAGATTGAAGATCACTCTCAAAAAATTGCAGATGATCATCACTAAAAGCATGAGCCATTGAATCAGTGTCACAGATCAAAGAGTTGGAGACTTGGACTGGAAAACTAAGGGTTTGATCGTATCTAAGGCCCATGCTGTCAAAATTAGGCAAGCAATAGTCATCCAAGCTACTAGTTCCACCAACAGAATAAATGGATGACATGATATCTGGAGAAGAGGCATTTGCCTGTGGATAATTGAATCCTCCAGTCTTTTGGGAAGCCAAAAGCTTGTTGGCACTTGATCCCTCTGTCTTGGGAGAGCTTGGGGAGTAAAGTACATTAGTCAAGTGTGAAGAGCCATCCATGAGAGAGTCTTCATCTTCGAAAGTGGCATATTTCTCCCCTTGTCTTAATGCAGTAGTAACCGTGTTTTGAGCATCAGCCTGATAATGGAACATCATATTGCTAATTATTAAGGAGGAATAAGAGAAGAAAGGAGAAAGTTAAGAAAGTAGTGGGTGATGAGGGATAAATGCCTTTTCGGTTTCAGTCAGCTTATCTACTGTGACATACTCGCATTCATAAAGCAGTCCTGTCACTTGCCCCACGGCATTGAAGACCACACCAGGTTGTTGAGAATGAGAAGGGAAGTACAGGTACCTTGTTGTATCGAGTACACAAGTTCGAGCATGTTCCACAGTTACCTCCCACATCTTTGCAGACATGCCAGTGCCCAGTATCTGCAGATTCCCAAGCAATAAATTTATTCATTTGCCCAAGAGAAACCAAGTACTTATCTACTTCTAGAAATGATTAGAATGTTTATCACTCAGAACTTTGGTTAATCAAAGGAGATATATAAATTTATATGAGGATGAGAATAAGATCATATATGTTTTATATAATGCTTCTCCCATAAAGCCTAATTCTGCCAGTAACAAGAATAGTATGGGATGTCCTCAGCAATGTATACGTCTCTGACTTGATAATGACAAAGCTAATTTATATACCTTGACAGTTAACACAATCGATGAAAAACTAAACTGACCCAATGAAAGCTTTTGCTAAAATCATTCAAATGACGGTCTATCAAAATAACTTGTAAGTAAAAGAAACTCTAAATTATTACACTGCGCAGTTTTGCTGGATCCAGGTTGAGAAGTGTGAGAAAATCTTTAACAGTGAGGATCTTTTCACGACTCAAACGCTTGTGGAAAGCTCCATCCTTGCCAATCTTTTCCAACCTCCAAACTTCATCAGACAGGCTAGGAGGATGGTGCTTCTTGTACACTGTAGCCAAAAACAGGCGTTCAGTTTAAATCCCTCTTGTTTTAACAAGTGACTTGAAAAGCTCAAATATGTTCTAATATATATTTACAGTAATAAAGGGATCAGTTTTTTAGACTTTATTCTTTCTCAAAAAATAAATACAGAGTGCAAGGTAAATAATTAATTTATTTACAACTGAAAAGAAAATCATGTGGATACAGAATCAGAAAAATCAGGACCAGTAAACAGCATGTAACTTACTATATTCTCCACATAAAAAGATGTTAAGAAAACCAATCACATTCACGTGAATTGCATATATTTTGTACTGTTCAATCTTTCTTTTTTAATTTTTATTTCATATGGGAAATAACATCTCCAGAATTTAGGATTCAAAATTAGTCTAAAAAATAGCATCTGCAAACATTAGATCTTGATGCATCTAAAAGCAGAAAAGGGTTACATATATTTATATAATATATACTCACATTCTCCTCTGTGATCCCTTACGATAAATGATTCTGTCTTTGCTTCTCTTATTCTAACACCATCAAAGTTGTCCACAACTCTTGCCCCTAGCCTGAACCTGCGGCTCCTTGTCCAGCTTGAATTATCCGTATATGAAATTTCCCCCACCATACCAATCCCATCTTTAAGATATAAAATTACATCTCCCGTAAGAAGAGGCTTTTTTCCTTCCCTCTCTCTCACAATATTGCTCTTGAACTCTTCCGGCATCCAAATGTCACTTTCTTCTTCAAAATCACCCTCAAGGACTACAATTTCCACCTTGGCCAATGATTCAGGTCCTGTACTAACAACCTTCCCTGTTAGGGCATCAACTAAGCTTATCCTTAAGTTGGAGCCATCCTCCCCTTCAATCCGAGCTCCTGTAAAGACAGGAAGAGAAATGCTGTTTTCAAACTGCAGCTGCAAATTTCTTAACTCTGTAGTATGTAACTCCTTCCCACAGGTCCTGAAAACATGTAAACAAGGATGCATCAGAAACAACTAGTGTCTTTCAAATCATTCAGGTAAAGCTTTTTCTCCCAATCTATACCACTGGAATTTAAATAATCATCAGGAGATTATTTTTCTTACTGTTTCATGCAGGTTAAATGCCTCTTTAGGGCCGCTTCAACTTCTTCCTTAACCTGTAAAGAGGTCACATATTTGATTGGTATCTGATATCAATCACCAGTAAAAATGAAACTAACATTTACGGGACTAAAATCCAAACATGCTGCCGCAGAAAAAGAGAATTACCATATGATTTCAGTTCAATAATCATATATCTAATTATTTATGGAACTAATGACCTAGAAAGGGAAATATATTTTGCAGCATTACTGGACTTAGCAATCATAGCACTATATGAACACAACTTCATCTTGTGGGTTCATTTATCTCACAAATATCACAAAAATAATAAGCAAGTGGCAGGATTAAATTATGAAAGACATAACCTAACACAACTAGTAGAATTTTGTTTGTGTAACTCAAGACACATGCTTTCCTTTCAATAAACAGGGCATAAATAATGGAAGTACAACATTCATCTTTGGTAAGCCCTCCACAGGAACAAATTCAGGCATCAACTGTCCCAGTCAATACCCAAAAAGAAATGTTGGTAACTTGAAAGAAAAGTGTGCTATCACAAATTCAACCAAATAAGTTCGTCAAGTGTTTTCTTTCCCTTCATTTTTCCTTGATTTTCATTTTATTTATATACAAGAGACTAGAAAATAGGTGAGTAGCCCACTTTTATCAAATTAAATATTTCCAAACTAGTTTCAGTACATCTAATAATTGAAGCACAGTGACAGGTTTTGAAACAAATCATGAAGTAGGTTTAGTATATCCTTTGTTTGTGAGTCTTCTTTGACACAACATGCTCAAAATCCAACCACAGAAGCAGTATATGGATAAAGGATTAGTTAGAAATCCGTCTGCAGTTGTCCACAAAGTGGAATGGTACCTGGAGTTAGGCCAAAACAATAGCACCATAAAGTGGATGCAACACAAGTTATCTGCACTGCAGCCTGCAAAGCATGGCGATAACTCACAAGCAATACTTAAATTGTCTAACTAAATGAACTCAATTATTCAAAGATGCACGAATCAAGCCCATAAACCATCAAGAAACCCCAAGAGTAAACAGTATCATATTTAAACAGAAAAGAAAAGTGAATACCAGAAATATAAATGTAGCTAATCCATTATGTCAGATAAGTGAAATCCATACCACTTTACGAACCAATGGCTCTAGAATTGGCTCCAGCAAATGCCCAAGTGATTGTAACTTCATCACGTCACGCACCACACTACACATTATTCATGACAATAAAATCCAAATGTAAAAAATAAAACTCCATACTTTTGTTAATCAATTATACTGCATAACAACATTTAGGACTTGTTCAAATAAACTCGAAATTAGCTAACGTTACCGAGAAATTTTTTCATTTTTCCTTCTTAATTTTGTTTCCTAGAAACATTTACCCATAAATTGGCTTAATTGAATGTGAATGTGGGAAACAGCGAAATGAAACACATCCAAAAATTTATGTATCAAAAGAAAACACACCTAAAAATTCATTAGGACAGTGAATTGTAGAAAAAAAAAAAAAAAAGGGTATAGCATCAATTCTTATTTCACATGTAGCAAAAGTTCATTGAGTCATTGACTACTGGTAAGAGTGCCATTTTTCTTCCACAATCCATAGCATCACCAATTCCATAATCTAGCAGTGTACATGGAATTTGAGGTACATTTAAATCCCTGATCCTAGGCAAAGGAAGGAGCATGTTGATAGAGAGAATAAAATTGGCATTAAGTGGCAATTGAAAAAAGGGCAGTTGAGGCAGACGCACCTGGAGAAGGGAGGAGGCTTCCGACGCTTGTCGTCGGAAGTCTTGCCCTCGTCGGGGCGGCGCTTGAGCGACATGGACGACGGAAGAGAGGGAGTGATAGGGCGGTGAGGTGTGAATTGAAATCGAGCAGCATGCGGCAGAGTAAGATAGAGAGGAAGAAACAAAGCGGAAAGCAGCTTATATATATATGCCAAAGGAAAGGGCAGAGAGGACAAGAGAGCGCTCGTTAAGTCCAAAAACAAAAAAGAAGAGAGAGCGGCGTGCGTTCCTTCTTCTTCTAGTACTCGCCTGTCATCTTTCTCACCCTTGTCCGCTTCGGGATGCTTCTCCGCCTTCAACTTATCTCGTCATCTACTCAGAAGCACTTATCAATATTAAGCATTAGCTTCTTCAACTGGGAGCAGGGAGTTCCGAGTTCCGAGTTCCGACTCATGGAGAGTCGCTGGGGCCCATGCATAAGCGCGTTTTACGACTTGGTAAAACTGGTCCCCACCCTCAACGCGCTTCCCGTCAGCAGATATATATCCTTTTTCAAGTTTGGGTTAGCCTACCACCTCACGCATCCCTCATTAAGTCACCTATTAGTATTACCTATATTTATTTCATTCATTAATTTAAATTATGTATTATTTTCAATTTTAATAATTTAATAGTTAAATTAAAAAAATTTAATATATAAATTAAATTTATAAAAGTTATACTAGGTTGGGTTAAAAGTATGTTTAAAGTTTGAGTTGGAAATGATTCAGCTTCTACTATATTCATCTAAATTGTAACAGGTATATCTGTCTTTCCATTGATGCACAGTAGGAAAATCTTCTTCACATGGGTATCACGTATCAGGTATATATATGAAGGAAAATTAAATTCGTGAATACTTCTCTCACCCCTCAACATGAATTTCACAATATAAACTAAAGTGGAAGTGCGTTTTAGCATTTAATTACTTGTCTTGTTCTGAACTTGAACTAATCCCATACTAAAAAGATTGTGTGATACACACACATGTATGGCTAAGATTTTATTGATACTCTCATTTTTTTTATAATTATTAAAAAATTAAATTGGAATAATAATTAAGTTATTAGATTAAAATCATATATCTTATTAAAATATGCTTTATTTTTAAGATTATATTCTTTTAAAATTATTGTTATCTAATATTTTTATATATTGTTTAAATTAGAAAACATTTATAATTTATTTAAAATATATGTAAGCAAATTAAATTTTAAAAATATTAAGATACATTTCCTCAATCTCATGGGATGGGATTGAATAACATTGTAAGGCTAAAATAATAGTGGAATGAAGCTATTTTCTTAAATGTTTATATATTTTTATCTCAAATTAATAAATAAAAATTAAAAAAATTCTCTTGTTAATGTTATCATCTATTTTTCTCCTTTTATTAAACTAAATAGTTGCAATTATATTAAAATGTAGTGGATGCAATTATAGTCTAAAACTAAAAAATTCTTCAAACTGAGAAACCATTTAAAGAAGAATTTATATTTACCAAACATTTCTACCTTCTTTATGACTTTTTGTTTCATATCCAAGATATTTTAACGTGAAAAGACACGTGATAGAAATATATATAACACAACAACAAAGTTATTTTTGTATCTGCTGTTGTTACTTTGTCAAGACACCAAATACCAATTAAAAAATTATGAACCCCACCAGTAACTAATAACCCTTGATCCATCATGCCTGTTATGCATAATATGCTGGCTAACTAGTATGTTTGTATCCTTTCTTGACCAGTAAGATATAAACTTTTTTAAAAAGTATATTTTTTTAATTAAATAAAAATGCATTTATATTAATGTAATATAAAATATTTCATAGTCTTAAATATTTACCAAATAAGTTAAACTAAAAAAAAAATTTATTTACTTATTTTAAAATTAAATTCATTTATAAAAATTTCATGTAAGATATATACGGTGAAATGTCAAGTAAGTTCTATATCAATATCACAGCCCATGTCATCGCTAGTTGATTAATTATATGTGCATGACTTATTAAAAAACCTGACCTAAATAAATATTAGAACTTCTTAACTTTCAAAATTATAGTAGCAGAAAATTCATCAGATTTATTTAACCATGACACATTAGATAGGAGAATCACTAATATTGTTTGTTGGATTAATAATGTTGATAGGAGAATCACTAATATTGTTTGTTGGATTAATAATGTTGATTAGTGTAATTAATATTGTGATTGATTTTCAAATTTTTTAAGATCTTGAATTAAACTTTGAATAAAAATGATGTTGAGAAAAATAATTTTAGTGCAATTAAGATTTTCGAGAAAATTAATTTTTTGATGAAGCTAGTAAATACTTCTATTAATATTATCATGATAAGAAAAAATTAAATTAGTAAAAAAAATTCTTACATATATAAATTTATAATTGTTTCTTTATTCCTTCACTTAAAATGGAATTTGTATAGCTAATGCTATAGTTTATTATCTTTTTCTTTGTTATACTCTTCCAGTCACATATTTATTTAGGGTAGTTAATTTTAATCGAATAGATAAGATAGTTGAGATTAGTTATTAAACTAAAATAGGATTCTCGACTTGGGTGATGTGTACTTATATGTAGAAGATGTTAGATTTTAATTTATTACATCCACAGATTAAGCAAAACTACAAACTTTGCCGTTGGACTTTTGGTTGCGCAACGCTCACGGAATTGTTTTATGAGAAAAGAAAACTGTGGATTCTGCATGGTACCTACCTAAATTCTGGACATGTGTATGGTTTGGTCATTTTCAACCATACATCCTAACACTCATTTAAAAAAATTTAAGTATATTAATTAAAATTTAATTTTAATTATCTCAATTGAAAAACTCCATTTATTGGAGGTTTGTTTTCTCTACATCTTTCACTTTCTGATAAGACCAGACTCACAAATATGTTTCACAATTTGAGGAGGGAAAAGTAAGTGAAAAAGAAATAATACAAAATGTATTTTTTAATTGTTAGAAGAAAAAACAAAATAAAAGAGAGAAATTTGGTGAGATCCATGTTCACCTCAAGCGGGTTTGGGAACATGGTTGCAGTCTTGCATATAAGTGCAGTGCTGTTCCAATTCGTGACTAGCTATTCAAATGTTAACAGGCTATACTTCTGTGATTTTCCTGTGTATAAGCCATCCTAATTCAGAGCATTAGTGACCTCATGCAATGATCCTAGAAGGTGAAGTTGAGCTATAGTAGAAATCACATACACATAAATCATAAATGTACACACTAATATATAAAAAATATGAACAAATTAATAACACATAATGAAAATTGAATAGAGAAGAACTTTCCTCTCATAAACTTATGTATTACATATGATTTTTCATCCTTTAGAACATAAATATAAACACATATTTACAAAATATATATTGGGTACATTAAACTTTAAATATTGATTAAACAAATAATTAATATAAACACAATATGTATTAAAAGACTAAAATATATAAATGATAATTACTGAGTATATACATAAATAATACATTTAAATCATATTACTCAACACACCACTTTGAAAAAGTAAATCAAAATTGGCAAGAATGGAAACATGGATTCCACTCAAGAAGCATGATTTTATGTTTTCTCCTTCCACCTCCCCGGTTAGCTCGTGTTGATAGCTCATAGCATAGGTGTGTCTTTTAACGTGTATATTTTTCTCTCTATCTTTATTTTTGTTACTAAAAAAATCAAGAATTTTCTTTTTTTTATAGAGTAATTATGCTTTTTCATTCAACTATATAATATATATTCATCGAAGAAGAGTACAAATAAATAATTCTCATATTTAATAAAAGTAATTTATTTTAATTAACTTTATTGTGTATCTTTTATATTTTTTATTTTTTTTAGTTGACATTTTTTATTTTACTTTAAATACATCTAAACATATCCTTTTATAATTTAAATCTTCTTACTTTTACTTACCATTATATATTTTACTTGTTTTAAAAAGTAACGAGGTACTTTCTAAAAAGAATCGATATACTTCAACTTTTAATGTATTATATAATATTGGGTTCTAATTTTTTTTTTTAATTTAAGATCATTAATATATAAATAATATATTGAGTATTTAATTAATTTACGTTTGACTAGTGAAGTTATCTTAGATGTAAAATTCTCTTTTAAAGAGGCTACAATTTTTTTTAAAAAAAACTCACCATTAATTTAAAAATTAAATTGATTATTAAATCAATTTGGCATTAATTTAAGATTTAAAGACTATAGTAGTTAAATCATGAATAACATAATGCTAATAATACATAAAATAATAAATAGATATAATATTATTACTTTATAACACTAAAAAAATAATAATAGTATTTTATAAGATTTTAACATTGAAAATTCACACAAAAATCTTGATCAAATATATTGTAACGTTTTATCTTAGTTTTGACCATATACAATAGTGCTCGCTAGCAATAATGAGCATTTTATATGAAAAAAAAATAGATGACAAATAATTTAAGTTGATTTTTTTAATAAAAGAAATCAAAATGATGATTTATTAAGCAATTTTTATCTATGAACAAGTTTTTCTTCTTCTTATTTTTATTGATTTTTAAGTTCTTTGACTGGTTTTACTTAAAACCAATCAATTATCGGATCCAATTTTTAAAACAGTAATTCAAACTGAAAATCTTAAAACTTGTTTAAGGTGATTATAAGTTTTCAATTTTTAGTTTCCAAGCTTAAATTTGTAAACAAAACTTCTTTGGATAAGAAATAATTGAAATGTTTTAAAATTACTATAAATCACATTTGAAAATATAACAAGATGGTTTTCTAATTCTAATTTAAAGTTTTGAAAAATTATTTCATCTTTTTCAAAACTTTTATCCCATTTGGTCCCTTCTTAAGCTTCTCTGTCTCCCATTTGGTCTTCACTAGAAGTGGTAAAATTAGTTAAGTGAACCAATCTAACTTCACATAGTGAAATATAAGGTTTAGACTTTAATTTGTTTAGCATTAATTAATATGCACCTGTTTAGTTCAATGCCCTGATTTGTTCTTAATTTATAAGAAGACAAAAAAAAAAAAAATACGAATTGATGTTTCACTTGTCTTATGCCTCATTTTAGAAGTCCAAGTTAAGTTTGGATAATTTGGTCTGGCATGCATTGAGTTTATAATTGATCTAGTCTAAATCACTTAATGAAATGTTAAGTAGCCTTTAAATTAACTTTGGTCAGAAATTAAACTTGATCCTTTTTAACTCAATATGAACTTAACTCATGCAACTTGAACTTTGGACTCCATTTTAGAAGTCTAAAATAAACCCCTTTTTTTTTCTTTTCCTAATTCATTATAACCTACAATTCATATTGTACTCATAACTTACAAGATTTAAGCTCTAAATCCTAAAATTCTGAGAAAGATTTTAAATATAGATGTTCTTAGTCATATTTGTGCTTAGTCCATAAAAAGTTCATGCAAATTAGACTTT